GACAACAACCCAAGACTGAGCGGCTGGAGTTGATTCATTCAGATGTCTACGGACCTACAAAGGTCTCTTCGATTGGAGGTTCCCGTTACTATGTTACATTCATTGATGACTCTACACGGAAGGTATGGGTTTATTTTCTTAAAAATAAATCCGATGTCTTTAACACTTTTAAGAAGTTCAAAGCTGCAGTTGAGAATGAAACAAATCTCAAGATTAAGTGTTTAAAGAGTGATAATGGGGGTGAGTACAGTAGCACAGAGTTTGTAGAGTATTGTGCTGAACAGGGGATCAGAATGCTGAAGACGGTTCCAGAAACACCACAGCAAAATGGTGTTGCAGAGAGAATGAACAGAACACTGAATGAGAGGGCCAGAAGCATGAGATTGCATGCAGGACTTCCTAAGATGTTCTGGGCAGATGCGGTGAACACAGCAGCCTATTTGATCAACAGAGGACCCTCATCTCCCATTGATTTCAAAATTACAGAAGAGGAATGGAAAGGTCGAGAGGTATCCCTTAATCACTTGAAAGTTTTTGGTTGTATTTCTTATGTCAAAGTTAGAGATGCAGATAGTGACAAGCTCGAGGAAAAAGCAAAGAAGTGTATCTTTATTGGGTACGGGATGGATGACATGGGCTACAGGTTCTGGGACAACCACGGCAAGAAGGTTATCAGAAGTAGAGATGTCACTTTCAACGAGAATGTCCTGTATAAAGATGGTCTTGCAGCTGAAACTAGCAAAGCCAAGCAACCAGAAAACAAGCAACAAGTGGTGTTTGACGGGATGACTGAAGATGACATAGCACAACCTGCTGGTTGTGATGAGATGACTGGAGGCTCAGGGAGCAGTGGGAGCTCAGGAGATACAGGAATGTCTGAAGATAGTGGGAGTGATGAAGATGGTGAAAATTCAGAGGCAGCTACTCCTCAAGTCAGACAGTCCACTAGAATCAGAAGACCTCCTAACAGATATTCTCCTTCAGCAAATTATCTGTTGCTGACCGAGAATGGAGAGCCAGAATCTTACTCAGAGGCGTTGACCATGAAAGACTCCATACAGTGGAAGAAGGCCATGGAGGATGAGTTAGATTCACTTGACAAGAACCACACTTGGTCCTTAGTCAAGCTACCACTGGGAAAGAAAGCTTTGGAGAACAAGTGGGTGTTCAGAATCAAAGATGAAGCAGATGGAAGCAAAAGATACAAGACAAGGTTAGTTGTCAAAGGGTTCCAACAGAAGAAGGGAGTTGATTACAATGAAATCTTCTCTCCGATTGTGAAGATGACTACTATCAGGTTGATCCTTGGTATCGTTGCTGCTGAAAATTTGCACTTAGAGCAGCTGGATGTAAAGACTGTCTTTCTTCATGGCAACCTTGAAGAAGACATTTACATGGCTCAACCAGTAGGTTTCCCAGTGAGTGGTAAGGAGAAGTTGGTGTGCAAACTCAAGAAGAGTCTATACGGACTGAAGCAAGCTCCTAGACAGTGGTACTTGAAGTTTGACAGTTTTATGCAGCGGAATGGGTACACTAGATGCAAGATGGACCATTGCTGTTACTTGAAAAAATTCGAGTCTTCATACATTATTCTTCTTTTGTATGTTGATGACATGTTGGTGGCTGGAGCAAACATGCAGGAGATCAACAAGCTCAAGAAGAAGTTGTCTAAAGAATTTGAGATGAAGGATTTAGGGGAGGCGAGACAGATTCTTGGGATGAGCATAGTCAGAGACAAGGTGGAAGATACTTTAAAGCTTTCACAGCAGAAGTACATTCAGAAGGTCCTTGAGAAGTTCAGAATGACGGATGCCAAGCCAAGGAGTACACCGTTAGGGAGTCAGTTGAAACTCTCCAAGCAGCAGTCTCCGAAGACCGATGAAGACAAAGATGAGATGGCTAAAGTTCCTTATGCATCAGCAGTTGGCAGTTTGATGTATGCGATGGTGTCAACAAGGCCAGACATTGCTCATGCAGTGGGAGTTGTTAGCAGGTTTATGTCAAATCCAGGGAAGGAACATTGGGAAGGAGTCAAGTGGCTGCTACGCTACTTGAAAGGCACCTCTAGAACTGCTCTTTGTTTCAGGAGGAATGAGGCAATTCTAGAAGGTTTTGCAGATGCTGATTTGGGGGGCTGTCATGATTCCGGGAAGAGCACTACGGGTTACATATTCACTATTGGAGGTACGACAATCAGTTGGATGTCCAGATTACAGAAGAGTGTAGCTCTTTCAACCACAGAAGCAGAATATATGGCTATTGCTGAAGCGGCCAAGGAGATGATTTGGTTGAAGAACTTTCTTTCGGAGTTGGGCATGAAACAGGGGGATTGTGGTCTGTACTGTGACAACCAGAGTGCTATTCATCTCGCGAAGAATCCGGTGTTTCACAGCAGAACGAAACACATCAAGATGAGGTATCATTTCATTCGAGAATTGATTGAAGATGGTACTATAAATTTGAAGAAGATCCTTGGTACGAAGAATCCAGCAGACATGCTTACCAAGGCGGTGACAACGGAGAAGTTGAAGCTATGCATGGCTTCAACGGGCCTTCCAGATACTTGATGAGAAGGCGTGGACGAGAGAGAGACACTAGTACAAAAAAGGCTTTTCACATCGGTTAAAAAAGGCTTTTCACATCGGATCTACAACCGATGTAGTTTCAGCCCATGTGAAAAGTAGAGACTTTTCACATCGGTTCTTTAACCGATGTGAAAAGTCTTTCTACATCAGTTGTGCAATAACCGATCTAGAATTTCGTTCGAAACGGCGCTTGAAATGCCATTCCACATCGGTTATAACCGATGTGGAAGAATCTACATCGGGTCCAAAATAACCCATGTAGAAAAGGTTCAATTTTTCCCGCATCATGGGGTATTTCACATCGGCTATAACCCATGTTAAATGTTTTTTAAAAAAATAAAAACAAATCACATCAGTCATAAACGACGTTGAATGTTTTTTATAAATAACAAAATTAATGTTTCTATATTAATCAAGCTCTTCTATATTAATCAAGCTTTTTGAGAAAGAACAAACAACAAAACATGCACCAAACTAAATAAAATATGAGTAATACTGCTAGATTAAGAGAGTACAAAGCAACATTGTTCATTACTCGACAAATCTGAATTCTGGAGTAGCAACAGATATCCAACTCAACATAAACTAACCAATTTAAGAATAAAGCAAAATATACAAAGAATAATACTGGATAATGTGATTGCATCCTATAATAGATAATAATACTAAAATTAAAAAATTCTCAAACTAAATGGAACCTATTAGCTTAGTCACTCCATTAGCATGAGCTACTATCTTAATTATTTTAATGTCCATTTCGCCATCCAATTGGAATATGTATGCCCTGTATACTCGTTCAGCTATGAAGTCCCAAAAGATAGCATCTTAATGTATAAGAAAATGTTGTTCACTTTGTTTGTCTTCTAGAGGGCAACTGCAAGAAAGAACAATGATAATTTTCATTTTCAGCACATTGAAAGATTTCAAAATATTCTTGTAACTGTTGCTAGAAAAATATGAAGTCAACTACACCAGATGACCAGATTAGAATAATATTAAATCTTTATAAAAAGACAAAATGCCTTTACATGGTAAATATACCTTGATACACCCCCACAACTAATCCAAGTTTGTGAATTAATTAGTAAAGTGCTTCAGTTATTCTGTTAAGTACTGGAGCAGATCTGAATATTCCACAGAATGCTATAACAAACTACTAACTCATTATTAAATCAAGAATTTTTAAAAACTAATCAAAAGAGCAACACATAATATGGGCAACTAGTGCCTGATGGTTAGACTACATGGGCAACCCCACTTAATCGTCTTATACTTGTAGTAAACAAAACTTAACATGCATACCCAATATATTCCATTTAGAAGTACGATTCAGGGAGGATGAGATTATATAGACCTTAATAGTTACAGCTATATCTTGGAGTAGGGGGCAGTCTGACACCTATATAAAGTATAGGGTGTTTTACAAAAACACGGGAAAGATGTGCTGGGGTTGCCAAAAAACGGGGGTTTTTCTAGGGTTTACCAATAAACGGGAGTCGGAACTCCCAATTCCGACTTACGCCATTTGGTAACCTAAAAGGAACTCCCGTTTTTTGGAATGTCAGAACGAATACTCCCGTGTTTTGGTAATTACTTCTATTTGCTGCGGAGTGTAAACATTGCACAGTCGCAAATAAGTTAACATTATTTTTTTGGGTGTTTTACCAAAACACGGGAAAGATGTGCTGGGGTTGCCAAAAAACGGGGGTTTTTCTAGGGTTTACCAATAAACGGGAGTCGGAACTCCCAATTCCGACTAGGATTTAGGGTTTCTGAAAAAAGCCTTCCCCTCCAGTCGGATTTCCCACTTCCGACTGGATTATATTTTTTTTTTGCCGAGTTTAAGGGTTTTTTTATTTTGAGTGGGGCACGTCGGTTTTAAGTTTTTTTTTTTATTTTGAGTTTTAAAAACTAGTTTTAAACAGTTTTTTCTAGATTCTTTAGATATTTTTAAAAATGAAAACTTAGCACATTTATTTTTTGAGTAACAAAACATTTGATTGCTTTATATTGTTTTTTAATCCATTTGTATTGTGAATTTTGTTTTAATTGCAATTTTAGTAATTTGAAGTGTAATTTTGATTTAATTCATTCTTCAAATTAGGTACTACTACGATGGTGTTTTAAGTGCAATTTTTGTAATTTCAATGGAAGTGAACAAAACGAATGTACTTTTCAATGTAATTTATTAATGAATAGACAGTACATATAATATTAAATTTAATACTACAGCTAACGTTGTGCGCTCGGCCCTGCTCCGTCCCCGCCGCCAGTGTTCCCGCCGCCAGTGTTCCAAGGCCCGTTTGGGTCTCCATAGTAAAATGACGAACTCAAAAACGACTCAACAAAATCATTCGGTTGCGTAGAGAACTGATAAGAATCATAATACGGCGGTGGTTGATCAAATGTGACACCTTGATGCGTCGAGAAATTAGGGGGTGGTTGATCAAATGAGACACCATGTGTTGAGAATTGAGGGAGCGATGGTGAGTCCTCACCCCCACCTTCATGTTCATCTGCATCATCCTCTTCGTCACTTCCACCTTCATCTTCATCTTCATAATGGAATATGCCCTGGTGGAGCATCTCTTCATTACCTACGTCCAGGGCCATCTGCTGTAGTCGTTTGTGTAAGTCCTCATAACTCGCGCGATCGGCTATGAGCTGATACATCTCGTGAACACCTTGTTTCTACATAAAATTTTGTAACATGTAAACAATATGACACGATATATGTTAATGAATATGGTATGTATTCAAAAACTTACCACAATACCCCAATCGTGTGCTGTCGGGGTGTAGCCTGTCGTGGGCACATTGTGAGAAGGGTTCTGGACACGTGTCATACCATGCTTGTTGTACCATTTTCGGTACCTATTAGTTGCTTCGACGAACATAAGTTGACCATAATCAAGAAAATATATGTGATCGTGTATGTTCGCCCACATCGCCAAGGCACCGGTTACTATGTTGGAACGATTTCCGTGATTATCAGTACCTGTTAAAGGAGCATCCGGAATATCTTGCCTTATATGGAACTGCCGAAGAAATCGATCGGGGTAATGCATTTCGGCCATATTGCAAAATATGAGCTTAACCCTAGCCGACCAAAGCGGAGCTTCATTAAGGATGAGAGGTTGTTAGGACTTTTTCTGGTGTCCAATCTAGTTATATGTCTTTGTATTTGTGTAGTTGTTAGTTAAATGTGTAATATGGGCCACAATTGAATATTAGCCCATTAGCCTCTCTTGTAAGCCTTAAGTTAGACTTCCTTACCTATAAAAGGAGGCTAACTTAAGAGAAAACCTAAGGCATAGAGCATAGAGGCAGAATAGAGAATAGATTAGCTTTTACGCTGCTCTCTCTCTCTAGAGGGAGAGCAGCGGCCGGTTTACACGGTATACCAAAGTTCTCGATACTTTGATATGAATGATAAATCTATCTGCTTCTTCTCTCACTGTTCTATGACTGTATGATTGTTTAAAAATAGGGACCAACATGTGGTATCAGAGCCGAGGCGTGAAATAGATTGAATTCATCTGCGTTTTTCGGATCTGCCTTTATCGAGAAAGACCTTACGTTTTTGATAAACTGAGTTTTCGATATTCTGGTTTGATGATCTGTTTTCAATGTTTTTTCAGCGATTTCTGGAAGATTAGGATCGAAATCCGTTTGACAACAACCTGCAATTTCATTTGTAAAGAAATTTTTGATTTCACATTTGCAGATTTTCGAAGCTGGAAGTTTTCGATATGAAGATTTCGAAGTTTTGGAGTTTCTCGATGTTTAGAATCTTTCGAACTTTGGGTTTTCTTGAATCTCAAAATTTTTCGAAACTTGATATTTTTCCCTATTCAGAACTTTTCGAAGCTTACAAAGAGTTTTCGATATTCCTAGCTTCTCGATAGTTTAAAAGAATTTTTATATTCTCAGCTTCTCGAAGTTTAAAAGGATTTTCGATATTCTCAGTTTTCGAAGTTTATAGAAGCTTTCGAAGTTCTGAAAGTTTTCAAAGTTAAAGTTTTCGATATTCTGAGGTTTTAGAAATATCAAAGTATTCGATGTTCTAAACTGGTTAGAAATTCTAACGATTTCGAAGTCTTGATTTTCTCGAAGTTAATCCTCGAAAACACGTTTCTCGCAGGTAGAAGGTCGAAAACAGGTTCTCGCGGATTGGATCTCGAAAACAGGTTTCTCGCGGATTGGATCTCGAAAACAGGTTTCTCCCGGATTGAAGTTCGAAAACACGTTTCTCGCAGTTTGAACCTCGAAAACACGTTTCTCGACATTCAATATCGAAAAGAAATTTTTCGATATTCAACATCGAGAAGACGTTTTCGATGTTCAATCATCGAGAAGAAGTTTTCGACATTCAACATCGAGAAAAAGTTTTCGATATTCAGTCATCGAGAAAAGGTTTTCGACATTCAATATCGAGAAAAGGTTTTCGACATTCAATATCGAGAAAAGGTTTTCGACATTCAATATCGAGAAAAGGTTTTCGATATTCAACATCGAGAACAGGTTTTCGAGGTCCAACATCGAGAAACTCAACCTCGAGAACCCCAACTTCGAAAAGTTTTTCAAAGTTCAAAATTCAAACTTTTCGATGTCCTGCACTGTTTTGGCCATAACTTTTGACTCGGTGATCCGATTTACGCGTATAATACCTTTTCGGAAAGCTCTTGAAAAGATCTACATGAATTCCAGGGGGAACCCCAGAACCCCTTCTCACGCTCCCTCACTCGCCGTTTTTGAGGGAGATATCACTTGTTTTCCGAAAAATCACCAAAGTCAAAGTCAAGGTCAAAACTGAGGCAAATCTGGTCAATTCTTCCAAATTCAAACCAAAGTCAAACCAAATGTCAAAGTTGGTCTAATCTACATTGTAAGGTCCGGAACTCGTAGATAATTCAATCAACCTCGCGTCAACGGTCATTTCACAACAATCAACAATCAACTACTGATGCCTCCCCTAACTCATCAACAATGTGTGATCATCACTCTGCTGAAATTCTAGACGATGAGTTCAGGGTAAACCGTCATGTGTGGTACCTGTACAGATTGCTCCATACACATGGCGGGTATATCAAGCTGTGAGCAATCAAACCTTGCACAATCTGAGGGGGAGTTACAGTTTTCTCCTCCTGGCGCCACACAACGACAAAGCAAGGATTCTCTCAAAGGATGCAACATTTGAGGGGGAGTTTTTAATTTTGTCCTCCTCGGTACCGAACGATGAAAAAGCATACCGAGTGCTTCAGTTGAGGGGGAGTACAGAGAGAAAATGAAGAAACAAAGAGAATGAGAGAGAAGTCCCTATGGCTTAGTAAACCCAACTAAGCCTACCCAAGGGACAAAGCCGAGAGTAAATGAGTGAATGTGTGAGTGAGTGAATACTATGAGCGTTAGGAAGCAGAAGGCTCAAGTGAGCAAGAAAACAATATTCAATGATAAGTCTGCTACCTCAACTGCCTACTATCAATTGATCAATTACTCCCAGTCACTCAAATACTCTGGACAATCCCCATAGGTTCAGGACTGAATTTATTCAGATCCGGAGTAGAAGTCACTGCATCTTGTCCAACAGTGCATGCATAACCCTACCCAAGACCACTCATTTGTCTCCCAACAGACAAGTGTTTAATCATATTTCACGGGGAACCTCATCTCTTATTACTGTCTCCTTTCGAGGCAAGTGATACTGACTACAGTGGCCTCAGCCCCATGCCACTGAACTTTCATTGATCACGTCGTGTCTAGTTATCTCACTCCCAAATGTTTTGAATTTTCTAGGACACAGACACACTTTTTGGAGTCAGTTGCAGGTCCAAGTGACCATGCGAGAACTTCCATAGGCTCATCTACTATAGATGTAGACCAATGATTGGAAGGAAGTCCTGATGTTGCAACATTGAAATCACCAATATGTTCAGGCCATCACTTTAGAGTTTATCTTTATAGTGATGATAACGAGCGTCTACGCGACCTCGGGGGGCTACCACTTTCATTGCTGATCTCTATGGTCATGCCTTAACAACCAGAGTGACATCTACTTCAGATGCTTCACAATGATTGGTTGGAAGTCCTGTTAGAGCTTTAATGCTTCTATCATTTTATACAGGCCACACATCAGTGTTTACATTGATGTTGTGTTAACGGAACACTTCTGTGTATCCGGTCTTTATCCTTTAACTTTTCTGTTTGTTTTCAATTTGGTTACCCAGAATAAAAGAATAAAGGCATGACGCCCCGATTCATCGGATCGTCATGAGGGGGAGAGTAGTCCACATGTTGTTCACTATCAACAAATCATTTTTGGACACTTTCTCCACTATCTCTACTGCTAAATGGCCAAGCCAGCTTCAAGTCAAATGGTCAGCTACGCTCACAAGTCAACTATCTTATTCCGCTGTGCCACTGACGAGATCTCCTCAAAGACAATAATTTTCCGCTGTGCAATGTAAACTTTGAGGAGACAAAGGTCAAGTATTCAAGTTCTGAAGATGAATTCTGTGTGCGCCTGTATATCACCTGAACACTCATTCCAAAGGCGCCATCGGAATTCATTAATGCTGATCAAGAGCAACTTCTGAAAGGTAAATATCACAAGCTACATTCTGAAGATTCTTCAACTCCCCGGCATCAAAGAACAAATTGTCATGAAGACATCAAAGGGGAGATTGCAAGGATTTCTTCAAAAAGCCTTTTCAAGAAGCCGAGCGCAAAGACAAAGGAAGCTGAGCTGCATTGAGGAGCAACTGAACACAAAGACAAAGACATCCGCGCTGCAATGCTGATCAAACAAGATTGAACACCAAGGGGGAGATTGTTAGGACTTTTTCTGGTGTCCAATCTAGTTAGATGTATTTGTATTTGTGTAGTTATTAGTTAAATGTGTAATATGGGCCACAATTGAATATTAGCCCATTAGCCTCTCTTGTAAGCCATAATTTAGCCATCCTCTCCTATAAAAGGAGGCTAACTTATGAGAAAACCTAACTAAGGCATAGAGCATAGAGGCAGAATAGAGAATAGATTAGCTTTTACGCTGCTCTCTCTCTCTAGAGGGAGAGCAGCGGCCGGTTTACACGGTGTACCAAAGTTCTCGATACTTTGATATGAATGATAAATCTATCTGCTTCTTCTTCATTCTTATGATTGTTTGGTTGTTAGAAATAGGGATTAACAGAGGTGGAAGTGTCTCGAACGCGTAGGGAATGAAATCAAACTGTAAAAAGTTTAATTTACAATTTAAGAACTATAAAACAATGTGTATTGAAAATTAAATAGTGCAGTTGAAGTAAAAATTTCTAGTACTACCTGACTCTCACTCATGCGGTCTAGGTTATCCCAGTACAAGCGTATGCAATGTCTCGGGGATCCCTTAAATGATTTGGGGACGATCCACCTACATTTGTTGTTTAGCGATATGAAGTTAAAAAATGTAATGTCATATAAAACATTGTAAAATATTAAGATGTAATTGGCAACATACTTGCACCCATATGGAAGATGGTCATGTTGAATGACCTGAAGTACTTTGGGACGTAACATTGAAATCCTCGACCAAGCCCAAATCTGTAACAAGTGCATACAGCCGCCAACTTGTTTGGTGTCCCACTTGGCGCCGTTACACAAGTTATGGTAGAGGTACCCGAGAACCGCCGATCCCCAACTTCATCGACGGGCTAAAGCCAAGTCACCCTGCAAGACTTCCAAAAAGTACAATCGTATTCTTGTCCCACTCGTGTCAGGGAACAAAAACCCTCCAAGCAATTGCCATATTAGGGTCCTGGTGTGTTGGGTGACCTCCTCGTCTGTACTGTCAGGTATAATCGGGTGACGGGTAACAGCACTCATGGTGATATCACTCGTGCGCATATGAGTCTCTAGAGGAGTGAATCCACACGACTGCGTGCACAGGTCGATCCACTGAGCCTTATCCTTAATGGTAGGACCACTAAGGGGCATACCTCGAATGGGCAAACCAAGTATCATCGCCACATCTTGTAGACCAATGCCAACCTCACCGAATGGAAGATGGAAAGTATGTGTCTCCGGCCTCCATCTCTCCACCAAAGCGCATATTAAACTATGATCCACCTTCATACGGGCAACGTGCTCTACCCCCATGAACCCAGCATAAGCTAACATATTTATCACCCTTTCATCTCGCTCCTCATCTCCGAATGCAGCTGAAGGGCAATTCACGCATTTCAAGCTCAAGTCATTGGAATCTGGTTCGTACCATACACGATCAGCACGGTGGGCACGCAGTGGCAACGTGAGTAGTGAACAGTTAACAGGCCCTAGGCGCGGAGTGTTTTGGTCCATTTGAAATTCCTGGAATAAATAGTTATAAATTACTAATTTCGAAATTGAACTCTAAATCTAAAATTAAAAACTTAAAAACACTTTCTAAGTGTAACACACTTTCTAAGTTTCTAGTATATTTTATAGCTAAATGTTACAATAATAGTCCAATTTGAGACAATATAAATTAAAAATTTACACATAAAAAATTTAACTACTTCTACACTCCTAAAACCGAAATTTTAACTAACCTCCTAAATGTAACACACTTTCTAAGTTTCTAGTATATTTTATAGCTAAATGTTACAATAATAGTCCAATTTGAAATAGAAATTGGACTAATAATTTCTTTCCTCATAGACAAGAATAGAAACTATCTTCATTAATTTATCCTATTTCTAGGTGTCATTAATGTGTTTAAAATGGTTGGCTTAAATTATTTTCTAGTCCCATAGACAAGGTAGAAATAATTTTCCTAGTCAACCCAGTCAATTCAACATTGACAAGGAATTAAACATGCCCAAAACAAATATAGCTACTAAACATTATTTTTGCATTTAACAATATAATGAATATATTCAACATTGACAAGGAATTAAACATGTATGATAACAAACAATTAAACAAAAATTATATTATGGCAAAATAAACTTGTAATCACTAAAAATATAACCTTCTGGAATTTTTCACGAATTTATGCGTTAAAAATCCAATTTTAACAACTAATTGATAATTTTCCCAATATTAACTACAAAATGCAAAAATCAACTAACAATACTCTAAATTCGTTCTAAATTTTATATTAATTACTGGTAGTGGTATTACAGTGACTTAAACAGTCCAATTTGACAATATAAATAAAAAATTAACACATAAAAAATTAACTACTTCTACACTCCTAAAACCGAAATTTAACTAACCTCCTAAATGTAACACACTCTCTAAGTTTGTAGTATATTTTATAGCTAAATTTTACACTAACAGTCCAATTTGACAATATCAATAAAAAATTTACACATAAAAAAATTAACTACTTCTACCCTCCTAAAACCGAAATTTAACTAACCTCCTAAATGTAACACACTCTCTAAGTTTGAAGTATATTTTATAGCTAAATTTTACACTAACAGTCCAATTTGACAATATAAATAAAAAATTTACACATAAAAAAATAACTACTTCTACACTCCTAAAACCGAAATTTAACTAACCTCCTAAATGTAACACACTCTCTAAATTTCCAGTATATTTTATAGCTAAATTTTACACTAACAATCCAATTTGACTATATAAATTAAAAATTTACACATAAAATTTTTTAACTAAAACTGGAATTTAACTAACCTTGAGATGAAAACAAAGGGTAGATGAGCTTCTGAATGGGATGCTTGGGAATGAAAAATATGAGAAAAAATTGAGATGATTGAGTAATGATGTTCCAATCACTCAATGTCTGATGTATTTATACAGGGCCGGTCAGCTCGAAGACTCCTCCTAGTCGGATTGCACAGTTCCGACAGGAGTTTAAAAAAAAAAATAAAAACACCCTGTCGGATTTGCCAATTCCGACTAGAGGATAGCCGTTAGATGGTGATCCGCGTGCTTCGTTGAAGAGTTAGGAGCCGTTAGATGGTAATCCGCGTGCTTCTCAAGTTAGGAGCGTGAGGTGGTTATACGGATGTATAGTGTGTTTGTTTATGGATAGGATAGTGGGAGTGTGTTTGTTTGTGGAGGTAGGTGGGAGTATTAAACTTATTAAACTTATTAAATTTTATCTGCTTACTTTCATCGGATTAATTTTATCTGATAAAATTTATCTCATTATATTTATGTGATTAAATTTTATGTTATTGAAATTATCTTATTAAATTTTATCTGCTTGATTTCATCAGATTAGTTTTATCTGATAAAATTTATCTCATTATATTTATGTGAATTTAATCTGAACAAAAACGTCACATACAATGAAACAGATCCGAAAAAGGGAACAAATATTTCATTACAAATTCGATGCAAAACAAAAAATTTAGAAAGGTATACAATACAATATTACTCATTTCCTCTACGCGTAGCACGCAAATCCATTTCGTTGGGAAATCGAGTTCTTTGTGGCCTACCGGCTCAAGCCGATCTGATGTTTGTGGGCGGGAGAAGTGTATGTTGTGTCTCTGCCATGACATTGACGTAACTATTAATAGGCATAATATCAGAAGCGTACGTCCGGATGTACGCATTTAATGAATACACATCTGGGATGTATGCGTGTACGGTTATTTTTAAAAACCGACAAACCGCATATGCGTGAACACATGGCAGCCCATTCTGCTTCCAATACCCGCACCCACATTCTTGCCTTGTCAGATCGATTGTCACTGGATCATGCGAACTAATAGCTACAGAGTAAATCCCCGATGTGAAATTGTGCGGGACAATAGTTGTGTGATACCTACGCTGTGATCGCTCTAGAACAGCCTTCCAGATGTTATTTGAATACAAGAATCCAACTTGGTGCCACATTATTCCCGCATTTCGTCGATCAGCAAATAGTTGGACGACTTTATCGAATGTGGCCTTTACTAGTGCTGTGATAGGCAATGTGCGACATCCCTTTAAGACATTGTTAAAACTTTCTGAAAGGTTTGTCGTCAAAATACCATATCTTTTGCCATCGTCATAGCTCAGGGCCCACATCTCAACAGGAATCTCGTTCAAATACAAAAAGGCACTCTCATTTATGCCTCGTATTTGTTCCATACAGTCGTGAAATTCCTGTTCTGTGGGAGTGCTACCAGCTTGCCAACACAATTTTTTCAGTTCCGCGTTTCTAAACTTGGTCATGAAATTACTCCGTATGTGACGGAGGCAATAACGCTTTGAAACTTGTGGCGATCTCAACTCTGGCAAGGATCTAAATGCAATTTCAATTCCTGCATGACGATCGGAGATAATGCACACACTACGATGACTTCCAACCACATCACGCATAACCCTTGCAAAGAACCACGACCAACTGTCAGCATTCTCACTCTCAACAACAGCATATGCAAGAGGAAATATCTCACGGTTAGCGTTCATGGCTACCGCTACTAGAAGAACACCCTTGTATTTGCCATACAAGTGAGTCCCATCAACCGAGACTACGGGTAAGCAAAATCTGAATCCGTCTATAGAAGCTTTGAATGACCAGAACACTCGACGGAATTCAGACGTATCAGGACCGCCGACCTGTTGTGATTACAAATGAACAACCGTCCCCGGATTTGAAAATTGTATAGCTTGCAACAACATAGGAAGTTCATTATACGAGGCCTCCCAATTGCCGAATTTGCGCTCCAGAGCGATCAAGCGTCCATTCCAAGCTTTTTTGTACGAAACATTGATATGAAAATTTTCATATATGTCTGAGATTATCAGTTTAATGCTGTAGTCCGGGTCGATTTTCACTTTTGGAGCGATTTCACTCGCTATGAGCTTGGCCGTTAGGATCTTATCATCCCTAGCCGTGACAGGATCCTCCCTACAACTGTGATGGGGTTGATATTTTTTTACTTTCCACTTTGTTGAATACATACCTTCTGCTGCTTGGATATGCCAAGTGCAAACAGTCGGGTCAATGCAAATCGCCTTCCAAGACCGTGCCCTTTTGTCTAGCGAATGGAATTGACGAAATTGACGAATGTTTTCTCTCGCCACCGCTTCTTTCAGTGCATCATATGAAGGGTAAACTGCGCCGACTTCGATCCTTTCAGGCTCAGAATCAAGCTCATATGGTTCTTCTAGCTCTAGATTGGCCCAGGTGGGGTCTACTGTCTCGTCATTACCATCCCTCGTGGTTGTATCGACATCACTACAAAAACCTTGTTCATAGTCTGGGTCGTCAGACTCTTCACCTGAATCTGAATGAATTCATATGACTAAATGTGTTAGATTTTGTTTAACCGAGTTATATTATAAAATGTCCGTTTTATCTAAATCAATGAGTTCAAAATTACTAAAATAAATACTTCTAAACAAAATCAAATTTTTCTCGAATAAAAAATATAGTTTTTAATAAAAAATGTAATATATAAAATTTAATATATATAGTTTTTAAAAATAAAACAAAATATTTCTAAAAAAACACCCTCTAGTCGGAATTAACCTATCCGACTAGAGTTTTCCTTTTTTTTAAAACTCCCAGTCGGATTTGAGCATTCCGACAGGATTAAAATTTATTTTTTTATTTATGTTAAATTAAATATCGTTTGCACTAAAAAAGACATTTACATTTTTTATTTAAAAATCTAAATTTGTGAAATCCCACATCAATTATAGTTTCCACACCATAATACTCCATATTATTTACATTAAAGACATTAATGAATTTGTACACATATTAAATTAAGAATAATATTATACACTAAATTAAAATTCCAATTTCTCAAATAAAAATTTAAAACAAAATTACAAATTACTAAATTAACTTTACTCCTAAAAGCAAAGTTAAGGCAAATTCTCAATTTAACACATTTTCTAACTTTCAAGTAATTTATAGTCAAATTTAACTCTAAAATTACAATTTAACAATCTAAATGAAAACATTTACAAATTGCTAAATGAACTACGTCTATAGTCCTAAAATCAAAATTTAAGTTCAATTCTAACTTTAACACTCTTTCTAACTTTCAAGTATTTTATAGCTAAATTTAACCATAAAATTCAAATTTAACAAATAAATTTAAAAACATTTACAAATTACTAAATCTACTACTTCTACGTTCCTAAAAAAACTAATTAAGGCAAATTATAAGTTAAAGATATATATATGGAATATTTGGGTGTATATACCACTTTAAATATGTGCAATTAAGTATGTGTCATATATTTGTATAAATTAAACAAATAGCCTAAATAAGTTATTTAAATGAATGAAAAAGAGACGGTTGCACAAGTGAGCTTATATTACGTCTTATCACATCAGTTGCAAAAGTGCTATGCACTTAATAAAAATATAATATAGGTTATTAATTTGTCCTATCATATTTATTTAAGCTATATAATCATTTAACTCTAAAATTCCAATTTAACAATCTAAAGTAAAACATTTACAAATTACTAAATTAAATAGAACTATACATACCGGGAGTTTCCTGGTTCTGAAACGATTGACGGTTGTTCCTCCGACTTGATGATGGGCCTTCCACTCCAGCAGTTCCGTGGAACGTCAAACTTTGTGGCGGGGTCGCTGAAGCTTCCACGTAAATGTGCAACTCCTCATACTCATTTGTGGCGATCCGGAAAAAATGACGCCATGTTCGCTCATCATGAATGGGCCATAATCTAGAAGCAACATATACCGAATTCTTATATTTCGGCAATTTTCCGTAAATTAATTTAATTTCGGAAAATCCGTCGCGTCTAACATGATTGAGAACATTTTCATGTATAGTAGTATAATCATCTCCTTCACTAATGAATAGTACAGCCCTAGGAGGTATGGAGTACTCTATTTCATCATCTTTTTGAGATGTAGAACCATTCCAATGAACCATAAGAATAATATTACCCTCACTAGACATTTTTATATATGGTATATATTATAAATATAATATGAGAGGAGAGTGGTAAACAAAAAAGTAATGAATATATTAAAGTGTTTTTGAGTGAATATGGTATGTGGGGATGGTATGTTAAAGAAAGAAAGAAGTGGCTATGAGGGAATGGTATGTTAAGAAAGGAAGAAGTGGTTTTGGAGTGAATATGGTATGTGGGGATGGTATGTTAAAGAAAGAAAGAAGTGGGTATGAGGGAATGGTATGTTAAGAAAGAAAGAAGTGTTTTTGGAGTGTGTTTGTAAATTTTGAGAAGAAATGAATGGTTTTTATAGAGTTAGGAGATACTCCCTCCGTCCCCTTTTAAAAGTCCCGGAAGAGGGTGGCACGAATTTTAAGAAAAGTGGATTTGTGTGGTTGATATTAATTGATAAAGTAGGAATAAAGTAAGAATAAAGTAAGAATGATTTTGAGCCACACAAACTTTACCAAATGAGATATGAGACATTTAAATAGGGACATCCCAATATCGTAAAATGGGACATTTAATTGGGGATGGAGGGAGTACGAATTAAAATAGCGGCATCTTTTTTTAAAAAAATACCCTAGTCGGATTCCCCAATTCCGACTAGGTAGTTGGTGTGATTTATAAGCTTTATTTTTTTAAAAAAAGAAAAATACCCTAGTCGGATTCCCCAATTCCGACTAGGTAGTTGGTTTGATTAAAGTGGGATTTAATGATTTATCCGATTTATTAAAGGCTGGCAATTTTTTTTTTTTTAAAAAAATACCTAGTCGGATTCCCCAATTCCGACTAGGTAGTTGGCTTTATTAAAGGCCTCGGATTTCCCAATTCCGACAGGCTTGTGTGTCAGTTGTAACCCTAATCTCCAGTCGGAATTCCCAATTCCGACTTACGCCATTTGGTAACCTAAAAGGAACTCCCGTTTTTTGGAATGTCAGAACGAATACTCCCGTGTTTTGGTAATTACTTCTATTTGCTGCGGAGTGTAAACATTGCACAGTCGCAAATAAGTTAACATTATTTTTTTGGGTGTTTTACCAAAACACGGGAAAGATGTGCTGGGGTTGCCAAAAAACGGGGGTTTTTCTAGGGTTTACCAATAAACGGGAGTCGGAATTCCCAATTCCGACTAGGATTTAGGGTTTCTGAAAAAAGCCTTCCCCTCCAGTCGGATTTCCCACTTCCGACTGGATTATATTTTTTTTTTGCCGAGTTTAAGGGTTTTTTTATTTTGAGTGGGGCACGTCGGTTTTAAGTTTTTTTTTTATTTTGAGTTTTAAAAACTAGTTTTAAACAGTTTTTTCTAGATTCTTTAGATATTTTTAAAAATGAAAACTTAGCACATTTATTTTTTGAGTAACAAAACATTTGATTGCTTTATATTGTTTTTTAATCCATTTGTATTGTAAATTTTGTTTTAATTGCAATTTTAGTAAATTGAAGTGTAATTTTGATTTAATTCATTCTTCAAATTAGGTACTACTACGATGGTGTTTTAAGTGCAATTTTTGTAATTTCAATGGAAGTGAACAAAACGAATGTACTTTTCAATGTAATTTATTAATGAATAGACAGTACATATAATATTAAATTTAATACTACAGCTAACGTTGTGCGCTCGGCCCTACTCCGTCCCCGCCGCCAGTGTTCCCGCCGCCAGTGTTCCAAGGCCCGTTTGGGTCTCCATAGTAAAATGACGAACTCAAAAACGACTCAACAAAATCATCCGGTTGCGTAGAGAACTGATAAGAATCATAATACGGCGGTGGTTGATCAAATGTGACACCTTGATGCGTTGAGAAATTAGGGGGTGGTTGATCAAATGAGACACCATGTGTTGAGAATTGAGGGAGCGATGGTGAGTCCTCACCCCCACCTTCATGTTCATCTGCATCATCCTTTTCGTCACTTCCACCTTCATCTTCATCTTCATAATGGAATATGCCCCGGTGGAGCATCTCTTCATCACCTGCGTCCAGGGCCATCTGCTGTAGTCGTTTGTGTAAGTCCTCATAACTCGCGCGATCGGCTATGAGCTGATACATCTCGTGAACACCTTGTTTCTACATAAAATTTTGTAACATGTAAACAATATGACACGATATATGTTAATGAATATGGTATGTATTCAAAAACTTACCACAATACCCCAATCGTGTGCTGTCGGGGTGTAGCCTGTCGTGGGCACATTGTGAGAAGGGTTCTGGACACGTGTCATACCATGCTTGTTGTACCATTTTCAGTACCTATTAGTTGCTTCGACGAACATAAGTTGACCATAATCAAGAAAATATATGTGATCGTGTATGTTCGCCCACATCGCCAAGGCACCGGTTACTATGTTGGAACGATTTCCGTGATTATCAGTACCTGTCAAAGGAGCATCCGGAATATCTTGCCTTATATGGAACTGCCGAAGAAATCGATCGGGGTAATGCATTTCGGCCATATTGCAAAATATGAGCTTAACCCTAGCCGACCAAAGCGGAGCTTCATTAAGGATGAGAGGTGGAAGTGTCTCGAACGCGTAGGGAATGAAATCAAACTGTAAAAAGTTTAATTTACAATTTAAGAACTATAAAACAATGTGTATTGAAAATTAAATAGTGCATTTGAAGTAAAAATTTCTAGTACTACCTGACTCTCACTCATGCGGTCTAGGTTATCCCGGTACAAGCGTATGCAATGTCTCGGGGATCCCTTAAATGATTTGGGGACGATCCACCTACATTTGTTGTTTAGCGATATGAAGTTAAAAAATGTAATGTCATATAAAACATTGTAAAATATTAAGATGTAATTGGCAATATACTTGCACCCATATGGAAGATGGTCATGTTGAATGACCTGAAGTACTTTGGGACGTAACATTGAAATCCTCGACCAAGCCCAAATCTGTAACAAGTGCATACAGCCGCCAACTTGTTTGGTGTCCCACTTGGCGCCGTTACACAAGTTATGGTAGAGGTACCCGAGAACCGCCGATCCCCAACTCCATCGACGGGCTAAAGCCAAGTCACCCTGCAAGACTTCCAAAAAGTACAATCGTATTCTTGTCCCACTCGTGTCATGGAACAAAAACCCTCCAAGCAATTGCCATATTAGGGTCCTGGTGTGTTGGGTGACCTCCTCGTCTGTACTGTCAGGTATAATCAGGTGACGGGTAACAGCACTCATGGTGATATCACTCGTGCGCATATGAGTTTCTAGAGGAGTGAATCCACACGACTGCGTGCACAGGTCGATCCACTGAGCCTTATCCTTAATGGTAGGACCACTAAGGGGCATACTTCGAATGGGCAAACCAAGTATCATCGCCACATCTTGTAGACCAATGCCAACCTCACCGAATGGAAGATGGAAAGTATGTGTCTCCGGCCTCCATCTCTCCACCAAAGCGCATATTAAACTATGATCCACCTTCATACGGGCAACGTGCTCTACCCCCATGAACCCAGCATAAGCTAACATATTTATCACCCTTTCATCTCGCTCCTCATCTCCGAATGCAGCTGAAGGGCAATTCACGCATTTCAAGCTCAAGTCATTGGAATCTGGTTCGTACCATACACGATCAGCACGGTGGGCACGCAGTGGCAACGTGAGTAGTGAACAGTTAACAGGCCCTAGGCGCGGAGTGTTTTGGTCCATTTGAAATTCCTGGAATAAATAGTTATAAATTACTAATTTCGAAATTGAACTCTAAATCTAAAATTAAAAACTTAAAAACACTTTCTAAGTGTAACACACTTTCTAAGTTTCTAGTATATTTTATAGCTAAATGTTACAATAATAGTCCAATTTGAAATAGAAATTGGACTAATAATTTCTTTCCTCATAGACAAGAATAGAAACTATCTTCATTAATTTATCCTATTTCTAGGTGTCATTAATGTGTTTAAAATGGTTGGCTTAAATTATTTTCTAGTCCCATAGACAAGGTAGAAATAATTTTCCTAGTCAACCCAGTCAATTCAACATTGACAAGGAATTAAACATGCCCAAAAAAATATAGCTACTAAACATTATTTTTGCATTTAACAATATAATGAATATATTCAACATTGACAAGGAATTAAACATGTATGATAATAAACAATTAAACAAAAATTATATTATGGCAAAATAAACGTGTAATCACTAAAAATATAACCTTCTGGAATTTTTCACGAATTTATGCGTCAAAAATCCAATTTTAACAACTAATTGATAATTTTCCCAATATCAACTACAAAATGCAAAAATCAACTAACAATACTCTAAATTCGTTCTAAATTTTATATTAATTACTGGTAGTGGTATTACAGTGACTTAAACAGTCCAATTTGACAATATAAATAAAAAATTTACACATAAAAAATTAACTACTTCTACACTCCTAAAACCGAAATTTAACTAACCTCCTAAATGTAACACACTCTCTAAGTTTGAAGTATATTTTATAGCTAAATTTTACACTAACAGTCCAATTTGACAATATAAATAAAAAATTTACACATAAAAAATTAACTACTTCTACACTCCTAAAACCGAAATTTAACTAACCTCCTAAATGTAACACACTCTCTAAGTTTGAAGTATATTTTATAGCTAAATATTACACTAACAGTCCAATTTGACAATATAAATAAAAAATTTACACATAAAAAAATTAACTACTTCTACCCTCCTAAAACCGAAATTTAACTAACCTCCTAAATGTAACACACTCTCTAAGTTTGAAGTATATTTTATAGCTAAATTTTACACTAACAGTCCAATTTGACAATATAAATAAAAAATTTACACATAAAAAATTAACTACTTCTAAACTCCTAAAACCGAAATTTAACTAACCTCCTAAATGTAACACACTCTCTAAATTTATAGTATATTTTATAGCTAAATTTTACACTAACAATCCAATTTGATTATATAAATTAAAAATTTACACATAAATTTTTTTAAGTAAAACTGGAATTCAACTAACCTTGAGATGAAAACAAAGGGTAGATGAGCTTCTGAATGGGATGCATGGGAATGAAAAATATGAGAAAAAATTGAGATGATTGAGTAATGATGTTCCAATCACTCAATGTCTGATGTATTTATACAGGGCCGGTCAGCTCGAAGACTCCTCCTAGTCGGATTGCACAATTCCGACAGGAGTTTAAAAAAAAAATTAAAAACACCCTGTCGGATTTGCCAATTCCGACTAGAGGATAGCCGTTAGATGGTGATCCGCGTGCTTCGTTGAAGAGTTAGGAGCCGTTAGATGGTAATCCGCGTGCTTCTCAAGTTAGAAGCGTGAGATGGTTATACGGATGTATAGTGTGTTTGTTTATGGATAGGATAGTGGGAGTGTGTTTGTTTGTGGAGGTAGGTGGGAGTATTAAACTTATTAAACTTATTAAATTTTATCTGCTTACTTTCATCGGATTAATTTTATCTGATAAAATTTATCTCATTATATTTATGTGATTAAATTTTATGTTATTGAAATTATCTTATTAAATTTTATCTGCTTGATTTCATCAGATTAGTTTTATCTGATAAAATTTATCTCATTATATTTATGTGAATTTAATCTGAACAAAAACGTCACATACAATGAAACATATCCGAAAAAGGGAACAAATATTTCATTACAAATTCGATGCAAAACAAAAAATTTAGAAAGGTATACAATACAATATTACTCATTTCCTCTGCGCGTAGCACGCAAATCCATTTCGTTGGGAAATCGAGTTCTTTGTGGCCTACCGGCTCAAGCCGATCTGATGTTTGTGGGCGGGAGAAGTGTATGTTGTGTCTCTGCCATGACATTGACGTAATTATTAATAGGCATAATATCAGAAGCGTACGTCCGGATGTACGCATTTAACGAATACACATCTGGGATGTATGCGTGTACGGTTATTTTTAAAAACCGACAAACCGCATATGCGTGAACACATGGCAGCCCATTCTGCTTCCAATACCCGCACCCACATTCTTGCCTTGTCAGATCGATTGTCACTGGATCATGCGAACTAATAGCTACAGAGTAAATCCCCGATGTGAAATTGTGCGGGACAATAGTTGTGTGATACCTACGCTGTGATCGCTCTAGAACAACCTTCCAGATGTTATTTGGATACAAGAATCCAGCTTGGTGCCACATTATTCCCGCATTTCGTCGATCAGCAAATAGTTGGACGACTTTATCGAATGTGGCCTTTACTAGTGCTGTGATAGGCAATGTGCGACATCCCTTTAACACATTGTTAAAACTTTCTGAAAGGTTTGTCGTCAAAATACCATATCTTTTGCCATCGTCATAGCTCAGGGCCCACATCTCAACAGGAATCTCGTTCAAATACAAAAAGGCACTCTCATTTATGCCTCGTATTTGTTCCATACAGTCGTGAAATTCTTGTTCTGTGGGAGTGCTACCAGCTTGCCAACACAATTTTTTCAGTTCCGCGTTTCTAAACTTGGTCATGAAATTACTCCGTATGTGACGGAGGCAATAACGCTTTGAAACTTGTGGCGATCTCAACTCTGGCAAGGATCTAAATGCACTTTCAATTCCTGCATGACGATCGGAGATAATGCACACACTACGATGACTTCCAACAACATCACGCATAACCCTTGCAAAGAACCACGACCAACTGTCAGCATTCTCACTCTCAACAACAGCATATGCAAGAGGAAATATCTCACGGTTAGCGTTCATGGCTACCGCTACTAGAAGAACACCCTTGTATTTGCCATACAAGTGAGTCCCATCAACCGAGACTACGGGTAAGCAAAATCTGAATCCGTCTATAGAAGCTTTGATTGACCAGAACACTCGACAGAATTCAGACGTATCAGGACCGCCGACCTGTTGTGATTGCAAATGAACAACCGTCCCCGGATTTGAAAATTGTATAGCTTGCAACAACATAGGAAGTTCATTATACGAGGCCTCCCAATTGCCGAATTTGCGCTCCAGAGCGATCAAGCGTCCATTCCAAGCTTTTTTGTACGAAACATTGATATGAAATTTTTCATATATGTCTGAGATTATCAGTTTAATGCTGTAGTCCGGGTCGATTTTCACTTTTGGAGCGATTTCACTCGCTATGAGCTTGGCCGTTAGGATCTTATCATCCCTAGCCGTGACAGGATCCTCCCTACAACTGTGATGGGGTTGATATTTTTTTACTTTCCACTTTGTTGAATACATACCTTCTGCTGCTTGGATATGCCAAGTGCAAACAGTCAGGTCAATGCAAATCGCCTTCCAAGACCGTGCCCTTTTGTCTAGCGAATGGAATTGACGAAATTGACGAATGTTTTCTCTCGCCACCGCTTCATTCAGTGCATCATATGAAGGGTAAACTGTGCCGACTTCGATCCTTTCAGGCTCAGAATCAAGCTCATATGGTTCTTCTAGCTCTAGATTGGCCCAGGTGGGGTCTACTGTCTCGTCATTACCATCCCTCGTGGTTGTATCGACATCACTACAAAAATCTTGTTCATAGTCTGGGTCGTCAGACTCTTCACCTGAATCTGAATGAATTCATATGACTAAATGTGTTAGATTTTGTTTAACCGAGTTATATTATAAAATGTCCGTTTTATCTAAATCAATGAGTTCAAAATTACTAAAATAAATACTTCTAAACAAAATCAAATTTTTCTCGAATAAAAAATATAGTTTTTAATAAAAAATGTAATATATAAAATTTAATATATATAGTTTTTAAAAATAAAACAAAATATTTCTAAAAAAACACCCTCTAGTCGGAATTAACCTATCCGACTAGAGTTTTCCTTTTTTTTAAAACTCCCAGTCGGATTTGAGCATTCCGACAGGATTAAAATTTATTTTTTTATTTATGTTAAATTAAATATCGTCTGCACTAAAAAAGACATTTACATTTTTTATTTAAAAATCTAAATTTGTGAAATCCCACATCAATTATAGTTTCCACACCATAATACTCCATATTATTTACATTAAAGACATTAATGAATTTGTACACATATTAAATTAAGAATAATATTATACACTAAATTAAAATTCCAATTTCTCAAATAAAAATTTAAAACAAAATTACAAATTACTAAATTAACTATACTCCTAAAAGCAAAGTTAAGGCAAATTCTCAATTTAACACATTTTCTAACTTTCAAGTAATTTATAGTCAAATTTAACTCTAAAATTACAATTTAACAATCTAAATGAAAACATTTACAAATTGCTAAATGAACTACGTCTATAGTCCTAAAACCAAAATTTAAGTTCAATTCTAACTTTAACACTCTTTCTAACTTTCAAGTATTTTATAGCTAAATTTAACCATAAAATTCAAATTTAACAAATAAATTTAAAAACATCTACAAATTACTAAATCTACTACTTCTACGTTCCTAAAAAACCTAATTAAGGCAAATTATAAGTTAAAGATATATATATGGAATATTTGGGTGTATATACCACTTTAAATATGTACAATTAAGTATGTGTCATATATTTGTATAAATTAAACAAATAGCCTAAATAAGTTATTTAAATGAATGAAAAAGAGACGGTTGCACAAGTGAGCTTATATTACGTCTTATCACATCAGTTGCAAAAGTGCTATGCACTTAATAAAAATATAATATAGGTTATTAATTTGTCCTATCATATTTATTTAAGCTATATAATCATTTAACTCTAAAATTCCAATTTAACAATCTAAAGTAAAACATTTACAAATTACTAAATTAAATAGAACTATACATACCGAGAGTTTCTTGGTTCTGAAACGATTGACGGTTGTTCCTCCGACTTGATGATGGGCCTTCCACTCCAGCAGTTCCGTGGAACGTCAAACTTTGTGGCGGGGTCGCTGAAGCTTCCACGTAAATGTGCAACTCCTCATACTCATTTGTGGCGATCCGGAAAAAATGACGCCATGTTCGCTCATCATGAATGGGCCACAATCTAGAAGCAACATATACCGAATTCTTATATTTCGGCAAATTTCCGTAAATTAATTTAATTTCGGAAAATCCATCGCGTCTAACATGATTGAGAACATTTTCATGTATAGTAGTATAATCATCTCCTTCACTAATGAATAGTACAGCCCTAGGAGGTATGGAGTACTCTATTTCATCATCTTTTTGAGATGTAGAACCATTCCAATGAACCATAAGAATAATATTACCCTCACTAGACATTTTTATATATGGTATATATTATAAATATAATATGAGAGGAGAGTGGTAAACAAAAAAGTAATGAATATATTAAAGTGTTTTTGAGTGAATATGGTATGTGGGGATGGTATGTTAAAGAAAGAAAGAAGTGGCTATGAGGGAATGGTATGTTAAGAAAGAAAGAAGTGGTTTTGGAGTGAATATGGTATGTGGGGATGGTATGTTAAAGAAAGAAAGAAGTGGGTATGAGGGAATGGTATGTTAAGAAAGAAAGAAGTGTTTTTGGAGTGTGTTTGTAAATTTTGAGAAGAAATGAATGGTTTTTATAGAGTTAGGAGATACTCCCTCCGTCCCCTTTTAAAAGTCCCGGAAGAGGGTGGCACGAATTTTAAGAAAAGTGGATTTGTGTGGTTGATATTAATTGATAAAGTAGGAATAAAGTAAGAATAAAGTAAGAATGATTTTGAGCCACACAAACTTTACCAAATGAGGTATGAGACATTTAAATATGGACATCCCAATATCGTAAAATGGGACATTTAATTGGTGATGGAGGGAGTACGAATTAAAATAGCGGCATCTTTTTTAAAAAAAATACCCTAGTCGGATTCCCCAATTCCGACTAGGTCGTTGGTGTGATTTATAAGCTTTATTTTTTAAAAAAAAGAAAAATACCCTAGTCGGATTCCCCAATTCCGACTAGGTAGTTGGCTTGATTAAAGTGGGATTTAATGATTTATCCGATTTATTAAAGGCTGGCAAGTTTTTTTTTTTTAAAAATACCTAGTCGGATTCCCCAATTCCGACTAGGTAGTTGGCTTTATTAAAGGCCTCGGATTTCCCAATTCCGACAGGCTTGTGTGTCAGTTGTAACCCTAATCTCCAGTCGGAATTCCCAATTCCGACTTACGACATTTGGTAACCTAAAAGGAACTCCCGTTTTTTGGAATGTCAGAACGAATACTCCCGTGTTTTGGTAATTACTTCTAAAGTATAAACACCATTATATTGTCAACATTAGTGTGTATGAATTCAACATATTATCAAGTAACTCATTTGATTAAAATAAGGTAACAAAAACCTATTGCTGTAAGGATCCTGCTGCTATAAATATTCAAGCACGAATTCAAGTTTTAAGAGCAAGTATTGCAAAGAGAAGTCATGACTCAAAAAGATGCAGTTTAAAGAATCAAAATCTAACTCATTGGGAGAAATAGACAACAGTGCTATAACCTTTTTGTTCTGAACTGGGAGAAAGACTAGATTCTGGAATAAAGCTTGAAATGGGAGCAAGGAAAGTAAAACCTGTAAAGAACTATGACAAAATATTTGATTGTCTTATGGAAAAGAAAGTTAAAATAACAACTACAATTGGTAAAAGGTACATAAAATAATAGCTCACCCAAAAGTTTTCCCTTAAGAACCCAATGAAGTTCAATGCATTATGAGCCAAGTCAAAGAATGATATGCTCATCACAAGACCTGTAGCAAAACCCTGCACATATAAAAACTACAACATTACTGTCTTTCAAGTAGATAGTCAATCCAACATAAAGGAAACAATGTAAAAGAACTAAGTGGTTAGAGCAGAAAGCACAACATAAAATCTAATTCATACACCCTAACAACTAAAACTCCTATAAAAGTTAACATCTTGTATAATAATTCACATAATTATTTCAATAAACAATCTGGAATTTAACAAATTAGATGAAAGTACTACGTACTAAAACACATAAAAGTTAAAACATATACGAAGTGTCAAATAATCATAACTAAAATAATGAATAAGAAAAAAGAAGAAATTTAATCCAGTTAGGGTTAGAAATTAAAACCGAAGATAAATGAAGGTTGAAGGCGGTGGCTCCAGTCCTTCAGACCTTACTTCATCGGAAACGCTGTAGCCGGGTCCGGAGATTCGACATGTTGCTCGCCGACGCCGATGACTGCTCGTTCCGCTGCTCTGCCCGCAGATGCCAGAAGTTTGATCTTCTGCTAGCTCGCTCCACTGGATGCCAGAGTCGGGCGGTGTATATGTCTTCTTCTAGGCTGGAGTAGGGGTAATCATACGACGGCTTGGTCTTCTGCTAAGTTGGAGTTCTGGGGAGTCGTTTTCTCTACATTGCGCAAGAGTTCAACGCAAAGGGTTCATCTGTCGAATGACTGGTTATAACCTGTCTGGATTCTGGAATGACCGTATGTTATTATTATTACTAGCTTTCAAGCCCGTGCGATGCACGGACAGTATGTAATTTAGCTAATTTGAAATTTGATTTCTTTCGGATCATATGTAATGTGATTTAAAAGAAAAATAAACTTAGTCTAATATAGAGCCTGTTTGATAATACTAAAATAAATCAAATTAACTTATTTTACTGAAATTGATTAAATTCTGGCTGAATGGCCTGAATAAGTGAATCTTCTGAATCATGAAAAATATGTAAAATATATTCCATTTGTGAAGCCAAGAAAAGATTATATGAAAAATAGTTAAATTGATCTTCTACATAAGCATTTCAAGTAAATATAATTGTTATGAACTCGATTTCAAAGAATTCATAATCTCACGTCCACTAAATTACTTTAATATGCACCTCAAGCTTTTTCTTCTACTATTACTTATTCAACTTGATATGAAATACCGAGTGCATACTTTTAACTTTTAATAATAAGATGTTGCATTTTACTCATTATTTTGTCATGCTGTAAATGTAAAAAATGGAGTTTTTTTTAACATTTTACTCATTATTTTGTTATATTGAAAACAATTTTTAATTCTTATGAACATCTAAATTACTTTATTGAGCATTTAAAAATGATACTTTTCTAGTATTTCTCATTCAACTTGGTATGAAATACACATTTTAAAATTTAATTGTGAGATCTTACATTTTACTCATTAATAAGGACATCTTTAATTGAATTAAAATTTTGGGTTTGATTTGGTATGAATTAATATGTTCTGGTAGATGTTTCTTTTACATTTTATGTGACTTACTATTATTATTATTATTATTATTATTATTATTATTATTATTATTATTATTATTATTATTATTATTATTATTATTATTATTATTATTATTATTATTATTATTATTATTATTATTATTATTATTATTATTATTATTATTATTATTATTATTATTATTATTATTATTATTATTATTATTATTATTATTATTATTATTATTATTATTATTATTATTATTATTATTATTATTATTATTATTATTATTATTATTATTATTATTATTATTATTATTATTATTATTATTATTATTATTATTATTATTATTATTATTATTATTATTATTATTATTATTATTATTATTATTATTATTATTATTATTATTATT